CGCAAATGGCTACCATATTGAAAAATATACTATTTTTGTATGATAATTATGGGTTTTGTATTTTATTTTAATAGAAGTTGATGTTGCTTTTGCAATTATCCATCAATTTTTTAAAATTAAACACTATCTACAGATTTGCATCGAAGCGTTTCTTATGATAGTGATTTTAATCACTGTCAGATTAAATCTATACTGGACCCTACTATGCAATGTCTCTACTATGCCGCGACCCCACTGTGCTACCGTTTGTTTTTATAATTTTATTACGAACTTCTAACTGATATATTTTGAATATACACACACAACACTCATATTTGACGATGTGTTTAATAAATTACTTTTATATATTGGTAAGAGTATATCCAAAACATATACAAGCATATTATATACAGAGTGATTGACTAACTTTGCCTCATTCAATTTATTTAAAAGTAAATAATATTATAATTTTTTATTTTTAGAAGTTAATAGTATGTTCTGTAATTAAAAAATATATATACGAGTATATATATTTATATACTTATACAGATTGTATCAAATCTTAAAATTGTGATGAGGTATATTAAAATTATACCTCATCACGATTTTATATTCTTAAGCATCAGAGTTTTGATTTTTAAATAACATTTTCTTTTGAAAAATTTTATAGAATTTTAGGATAAGTAGGTATGCTACTTATTAGTAATGTTATTTTGATGGTATCTTCATCCCAACATCTACTTAAATAGTTATTTTTACAATTATATAATTTATTAAAGAATCAAAAAACAAAATAATAAGTTATTTGATTTTTAATAAAAAATATATTTATTAATATTTTATACACGGACAGGAGGAGGAATGCGACCGAGATCTGTCTAACATAAAAAGTTAATCACGTAACTTTATCCCAGTCTGTATTTTCATATTCACAACTTCTGAAATACTGGTCTAAATATCAATCCATCATTTTCTTAATTAGATAATTTTCTATTTTATAAGCTAGTTAATCAGTATGTTATTTAGATAAATAAAGACACCGTTATAATATGTAAGGGTAAGCCGATAAGTACTTGAAAATTGATGAATCAAGAAATATATGTAATCAAAAATACCAAATTTATTTTATCAATATTGTATTTATTTTGTGAGTAATTGAATGGTTTATGATAAATGGATCATTCTGTACATAGTGTAACAAACTTATCAATCAAATGATTTATCGTCTACTCTTTTTTTCTTTCTGACGCTCAATCAAAACCGGTCAAACATTATAAGTTTTTAGATGTATTTATGTTATAAATATGTAATTAAGTGTTATTTGCTGTATGTATGTATTTAATAGCATTTTCTTGTAATCAAAATTTTTTTATATAATTGTAAGTACAAAATCTACTTTGAATTATATCGATACCTTAAAAATATATTTTAATAATGGTAAACTTGTGTGTAAATTTACTAGTTTACTATGTAGTTTAATTTTATGAATGAACATAACAAATGGGTTATTTTTGTTTTCACTTTTTACGAAAATTTAAAAAATTGTGTTATTAAAGTTAATTTATTGTTCGTTGAGTTTTATTTTAATCATATGTTTTTAATTTACATATTTTATTTAAAAAGTACCTATTTCAATTGGTTATATTTTTTTGAGACGTACAGTATAACTGTTAAATTCTGGCAAATTTTGTAAAATTGTTTTCAAGTTGATCTCGGGCCAGTAGCTTGTGATATGTTGCCAAAGGTTGATGGATGCCCTTGAACTAGGTACATTCGTTGAGTATACTCTTAGCTTGGTGCATTCGCTCAATGTACTATAATTATCACATGACCAAGTGCGCTTTTATGAAAACTTTACTTTTTTGTGCCGAATAGATTTTAGAATTGCATAAAAATTTAATTAGTATTTCATTATTTTTACTTAGATACAATGGCAAAAGATCAAGCAAGCAAGCGATTTTACCGTGTGGATAGTAATTATGATTTTACCGCATTTATGGATCGAGGCCAAACAGCCGCATGCGAAAATAGATGGGTATTCGAGTCAGCTTGGGAAGTCTGCAACAAAGGTGAATAATTACCATAATTTTTATCATTATAATAGTTTTAGTAAGCAAAAGTGAAATACTGATCGGGCTTTTCAAAACCTATTAAATAACCTAGGATGTGTTTTTTACAAGTTTTCTTTATGCATAAAGAAATGAAAAAAGTGGTTTTATTTAAAATAAAAAATTATGTTTATTGTTTTTATTTCAATCAATATTTAAAAGTATAAAAATTAAAAAAATACAATGTCTTAGCTCTAATTCAGAACTTAAGGGGCTATTTAAATATTATGATACGTTTTTTTTATACCTTTTAATATAAAAATTATTATTTAGGTAGCCGTAAATATAATTATTTTAAAGTCAGGTTTTTTCTAAAAAAACTCAAGAAAACCACCCGGACAATAAATTGATATAAAATCCTGATGTTTTTTTGTTCAAAACCAAATGGTAACATTGTTTCCGAAATACGTATCCGCGACTTTTCATTAATTTTTTGTGGCTTTGAGTTTAATATTTTTTAGTTTTTTAAATTAATAATATTTTTAATATAGTTTTAATTTTACTTAAAACTATCAGCGCTATAATTTTGATAAATCCACCTTAATTCTGGTAATAAAGAGATAAGTCCTAAACCATGTTGATATTTTTATTTTTTACTTAGTATTGAAATGAGTTTTTGAAAACTGAACAGATTACGAAATTTTTATTAATACTACTACAAATATTTGCCTTGTCGACGATATACTTTTTTGAAAACAAGATCTGTAATCAAGTTACTGTGAGGGCTAAAAAATCAAATCAAGTTTTTTCTTTTCAATTTATTAAGTTCCAAAAAATCTTACCTCTTTAAACTTACAAAGTACTTTTAGATGAAAAAAGGAGAGCTATCCAAATTCTCGATTTCTAGTAGTTATTGGACATTAAAGCCAAAAATTATACAATTCGATAAAAACAATCAATTTTGAGGTATTTTGTATAGCGATGGAATCATTCAAAACTAAATCGAATTTAGTTTACAATTTTTTTGTGTACTATCGATTAATAGACACTCCAGTATCTTATTCTCTATGGGTAATCTGCTTTAATAAAAAATCATGTGATTTTTGGTAAATACGAAAAGTTTAATAATAAGCATCAAAGCGTTTTACGACAGTGATTTTAACCAATGCCATATATCAATAAAGGTTAACCTAATTTTCAAATAACTATTTTTAGTTGATACATTTGACAGATTTAACGTCCAATCAATTATTATTTTGAGGGGTTACCATATCTCATGTGACCTATAAAAGTGTGCTCCTGCTCATTAGTTATCGGATCTAGACCGATTGATATCTGACGTAAGCAATTTTCGGAATTATTCTCATTAATTAATAATGATCAGTTTTACATCCTTCTATTTCCCGAACTTAATATGCTACAGAGGGCGGTAGAATGTTGAGAAGTCAAAGATGTTTCTTGGGTAAACCAATGATGGACAAGACGGTTATTATCTTGTACCAGAGACCAGATACTACCACCAATGAGAAAATCACTTGTAAAATCTTGTTGGCACCCTGAGGATCGAACCCGAGATCTCGTGCGCCAAATTATACGTCTCTACTCGCTAGGCCAGGTCGACCCCTTTCATTTTGAAGTCATTCAGAATAAAATTAAAAATTAATGGATTCTTTAAAACAATTTTAAAATGTCGAGTAAACAAGCACACATTTTCAATGTGTAATTATTTTAGGGAGACATAATTCTTAATCTGTTTTTAAGACCGAAGTAATATTTAAAATTCAATTGGTTACTTGGTGGATTTGTAAAAGAAGTAAATGGGTGGCAGACACAAAAGCGGGTGGCATTGCATTTTATTAACACTTGTCACTTCCAATGTCGACCAGTGAAAATATTTTGTACCCTAGTTGATTGTATTTTTAGCAGTTCCCAAAAATTGAGGTATGAAAAGAAAAAATTACACATTTATCAATATAAATATGGTTAAATTTAAGGTATTTGAAAAATTTGGTTTATAATATAACGTTGCTGAAAGTTTGTCGACTTAGAGTGTCTATTAAAATAATTTATTGTGATTATTTTGCTTGATATTGAAATAGATTTGTTTTTTTCTGGAACCCACAAGTAAGTATCAGTTCTAGGCAGCTTGAACGATTCCGTAATAATGCTTTGTCTGGTTTATAGTGAATTATTTTCTTTTTCATTAGGTTTCGTCCCTGTAGTCATAAAATCATGATATTAGGGGTAGGGAGGGATGGGAATAAATAAAAAAGTAACAAAAACTTTGGGTTTCTTGAGTCAAAATCATGTGTTATTCTGTTCGAAAATTCAATAATACTAATCTAAATTTAGCTCGATGTTCATGATAATTATTACATCAACAATAAACAATTTTTTAAATAATACATTAATTTTGATTTTTTCAATTTGAAAATTTTTGTTTTCAAAATTTTATAACAGAGTCATCATTCTTATTTTTTAGTGGGTGGTATATATACAGTAATCAGATCAAAAGCTTTTGTTTCAACTGAAGAAATGGGAGATCAATATTGTTTATTAGGACCTTATAAAGAGAATTATGCAAGAACAGCAGTCGAAGAATTGGAATTTGAAGAAGGCACACCATACCATACTGCAGTAACAAAAATGAGAGATTTAGGTTTTAAGGTATATTCTATATGTACCTACTTTTAAATTCTATAAATGCCTTACAGATATTCTCGTTATTATTTTATTTATATTAGTATATATATGAATATACCGAATGGAATAATTCTAACTGACAACTCATATAACTTTAAACACAATTAAGATGATATAAAACTATCTTATATTATGTTAATAAATATGTAAAAATTATATTTTTTAATATTTATTTTTAATAATAAAACATTTTTTTTTATTTAAATAATGTAATTTTTTTTCTGAATTTCAAAATAGTCAGTTTCTAGCACTTTTTTACAACAATTATTAATGGGTTGATAACAATTTAAGAATAAATACTTTTTGAGTTATAAACATTTTAATCCATTGAGGGGGTTTGTATTGTGAATAGATACAGTTTATACTGATGTATACTTATAGTCTACCCTTGTTAATACCTCACTATGTATTAAAATGTTTGTTTATTTGGACATATAATATATCAGATGCAAATATTTTAGGACATCCTTTATATTGTGACACTATTCTTAAAATATATTGAAAATATATAACTAATTGAAAAGGGGCTTTATAAATTTGCCCTTAAATTAAAATGTCCAATTTTTGTGTGTGCCATATATTTTGAATACTTGACTATTATTATTAGGGACTTCAATGTGAGCTACTGATTTATGCTATTTATTTATACTTCAGCGCTTTTACTTGTTGTACCTATTGTTTAGATATTACATACTCAATAATAAACTTCTTAAAAAAATAGTAATCCTATATTTTGTATGTGAAACATATTAACACTTGATTAATTGAAAATTATATGAATTATTTTAAAACTATGTTATATTTTATAATTATTTATAATTTAATTGTTTTAATAAATATAACAGTTAGTTACAGGCCGCTGGTTAGTTGATGGTAGTCCTCAAGTTATATTATTTGATGTAGGATCAGCTGCATGGAAATTAGACGAGTATAAACAAACACTTTGGGACTCATGCAACATTGGTATACCACATTTAGACATTGAAGCAAATGATGCAGTAATATTAGGGTACCAGATAGCACAATTTATTTCTGAAGTAAGCTATTATAAAAATTGTATTAAAAGAATATATCATCAATATCATTTGCAATTATTTAATTCCAAAAATACTCTTTAAAGATTATAATATTGTCTTATAAATTAAAAATGTAACACTTCTTTTAAAACTAATTTTATTATGATTTTTAGAGGTTAATCTACAATTTAGAATATATTTTTATCCATATGTTTAAATGTAATAATAAGAAGTTTTTTTTGTTTCCTGAAAAATAGTCAAAACAGAATTAAGTAACTAGTAAATGAGATTGGCAATATGTTAACTATGTATTATAAATTTAAATAATAGTCTTACAGAATCTATTTTCTTAAACAATTTTAGCTATAATTTACTATATTTAATTTTTTTTCACTCAAAGTCAAATGAAAATTTGATGAAAATATCAATTTTAAGTTAGTAAGAAGAAATAGATCCTTTATTTTTGTAAAAATACCAATTTATAATTAAATTCAGAAAATTATATGTACAATAATTTCAAAAATATTGTACTAACATCAAAATTTGAAAATGGTGGGGATTACCAGTATTCTCAAATCTTTAGTTTAGTAAATAACTGATAGGCTAAAATTTATCAACCCTATTTTTTATTTTAATAATAATATATAAAATACTTCAATTAAGTGATGAGACGGAACTCTTTTACTATTGTTCCACTGCGCGCCCCTGTTCTTTTGTTATAACCTCCTAGTCAGAGTTTCACTACTTCAATTTTCAAAATTTGATAATCCTAATATATTATAAAATCAATGTTACTGATGATTAATAAAATTATCCTATTAGTTTCGAGCAGCTGCAGCAGTATATGTTGAGTCTACTCCTTTAATTGTTGCTCATTTTCATGAATGGCAAGCTGGAGTTGGTCTCATAGCTCTACGTATTAAAAAAGAACAAATTGCTACTGTATTTACAACTCATGCTACATTGCTTGGTCGTTATTTATGTGCTGGTAATACAGATTTCTATAACAATTTAGAAAAAGTGAGTAACATCAAATTTATTTATTTAGAATATTAACAGATATATCTATGTCTTCAGTATTTTGAAACTGAAATTTCAAACTCGTCAAAAAGTGACGAGTTACAACTTTGGACCTGTAACTATCATAGCTCTAAAAATTAATTCTGCATCATGCTCAAAACATCAGAAAAAAATGTTTGATATGGATATATGTGTAAATATTCTAAATAATACAATAAATTAAATAAGTTTAATTGGTATGTTATTAATAAGTTTAACACATTCTCATGTATTTATTTAACTTAATAATTTTTTTTACAATCTAAAAAAGTATAAATACTTATAAAGAAAAACTTTAGCTCCATTAAAATTTAAGGATAAATAATATGTATTCAGTGAGGCATTTATAGGGGTGTTTTTGAATCCTCAAATTCGTATATCTTGTCTGTATTTTAAACACTAAAAGTTTTAACCTTTTATTTTTATACATAAGAGTATGTATCATAAATTGTATTATTTTGTATTGATATTAATATTTAATGTAACTATAGAAGTATAATAATAAAGTAGGTAAATGACATAAGGGTGAAGTCCACATAGATTTTGTAACTGGTATAATTTCAATTTCCCAAGATATTTGCTCTAGACAAGTTTTGTGTCAGGACATAAAATTGGGTAAATTTTTTTAATCAAATAGTAAAATTTGGGTTATTAATATGTAACTAGGTCTCCTTGAGTTACCAGTTTTTCTTGTTCGCTTTAAGAATCTTCATACCTTTTTCACTCTAAATGTAAAGTATGAATATTATAATAAATACAATTATTGGTTTATTCGTCTAATTGAATCAAGTAAAATGTTTTTGTACAGATTTTAAATAATTTATATACGTGACTTTGAAATATCAACATATAAGATCACTAATTTAATTATTTTACATAGTTTAATCTTGATGAAGAAGCTGGTAAAAGACAGATTTATCACAGGTATTGTATGGAAAGAGCAGCAGCTCATATTGCTCACGTTTTCACTACAGTATCAGATATAACTGGCAAAGAATCAAAATACCTATTGTCTCGCGAGCCTGAAATAATCACTCCTAATGGTCTCAACATAGTTAAATTTTCTGCTTTACATGAATTTCAAAATCTCCATTCGATGTCTAAAGAAAGGATTCATGATTTTGTTCGTGGACACTTTCATGGGTATGATTTAAACAATTTTTGTTTTTAATATTTATGAACAGATTTAATTCATGGTTATAAATATAGATAGTTATTTAATATTTCGGGATTTTGTTTCTTCTCAGCCATTATAATTTTGACCTTGAAAAAACTCTCTACTTTTTCACTGCTGGACGATACGAGTTTTCCAACAAAGGTGCTGACATATTCATTGAAGCTTTGGCACGTTTAAATCATTATTTAAAAGTATGTGTACTATAATTAGATAATTCTAACGAATTTTAGTAGCACATAATAATATTGAAGATTATTCATATTATTTTCATTGTGCCACAAATAATGATGTGTATTAAAGGGGCAGCTAGAATTTTTAAGTGGTAGGTTTATTAATTTTGCCCTTTTCACTAGTCTGTTCTTAATAAAAGGAGAGGGTTATAGTAAAAAAAATTCACTTATTGAATCAAATTGAGGCCTTTATTGACATATACAGTCTTTTAACATAAAATTTTTCATATTACTTAATGAATTAAACAGTTAATTAGATTCTATGTCTTGTATTTTATTTGTAGAGTGCCAACTCTGACGTGACTGTTGTAGCTTTTTTAATTTTTCCTGCTAGAACAGAAAACTTTAATGTAGAAAGTTTACGTGGACATGCAGTAACTAAAAGTTTGCGTGACACTATTTTAGAAATACAAACAAAAATTGGACGAAGAATTTATGAGACGTGCTTAAGGTTAGTTAAAATATAATAAACAAACTAAAATAAAAATTAAGGTTTACTGTTGTAATTACTATAGAGGTCGAATGCCTAATGAAGATGAGCTTTTAACAAAAGAAGATACAGTACGGTTAAAACGATGTTTATATGCTCTACAGAGAAATGGATTGCCTCCAGTAACTACACACAATGTTGTAAATGATTGGAGTGATCCAGTATTAAATACGATAAGGAGGTGTCAATTATTTAATACTACTGCAGATAAAGTCAAAGTAAATTTTATTTTAATACCTTTAAATTAGTAAAAATTCTTCGTTATTTATTTTGTTCCTCAATTTTAACAAAAATAAAAAGAAAACATTAATGAAATTAAATAATTTATCATTTTTTGAAGCTTTTTCCTTTTTCCCTTCTCTTTTACAGTCTATTAAAGCCATAGAAGCCTTTACCAAGAAGGATGTTTCTTAACTATATACTCCAAGACAGGTTATTTGTCTGTCACTAGAAATTAGGATGGTAACTTAATTACTGATTTGATATCTTACTTAGCAAACAAAAAAACCCATTAATATTTTTAACCCTTACCCTTTCTTTCCACAAATTTTTTTAATATTCAATGTATAATATGGAAAAATAAATTAACATTCTTTTCTTAAAACTTTCAAATGTAATAACATAAACAGAATGGAGTCGGGAATAGGGCCAAAAGTCAATGTTCTGTTTATCTATTTAGCCCTATTTTTGTGAACTACTTTGTATAACTTATAAATTTATAATTTTTATTGGAATAACTAAGAAATGACCCAACAATCAACACATATAGGTAAATTTTTAAACCTAAAGTAAAATTAATATTATTTATTTATCTAAAAAAGTTTACTTATTGATATTAAAATTTTAGATTGTGTTTCATCCTGAGTTTTTATCCACTACAAATCCTTTGTTTGGGTTAGATTATGAAGAGTTTGTGAGGGGATGCCACTTGGGTGTTTTTCCTAGTTATTATGAACCATGGGGCTACACACCTGCTGAATGTACTGTCATGGGTATTCCATCTATAACAACTAATCTGTCAGGTATCCTTGGAATTTTAAATTATTTATTAAAATTTATAATTTTAATGTATTACTTATTTTAACAATTAATTGGGGTTTTCAGAAGCCCAGCTGATTAACTGTACTTTTTTGGTCCAACCATTGGTTAGATTAAAAAAGTGATTTGAAAAATATGGAATTAACTGGCAGCTTGCTTTTGAGTATTTCAATTAATAATACATTTTTATTAATAAATAATTTTTTAATTAATATTTGTAATCTTTTTTACGTTTTAAAGAAAATATATATAATATTAAATTAAGAATTTTTATAAGGATTTGGATGTTTTATGGGTCAACATATTGCTGATCCTATGAGTTATGGTATTTACATTGTGGACAGACAAAATTGTGGTGTAGAAGATTCAGTTAGACAGCTTGCACAATATATGTATGATTTTGCACGTTTGAGTAGAAGGCAACGAGTTATTCAGCGAAATAGAACAGAAAGACTCAGTGATTTGTTAGATTGGCGTAATTTGGGTATTGTAAGTCTAAACAAATTTTTTAATACAAATAATTGTACTCTTAAGGTATTAATTATACTGCTTTTCAGTATTATCGTCAAGCCAGATTAAAAGCCTTATGCCAAGTATTTCCAGATATGTTTGATGAAGAAACTGAAATGTTATGTATTACTGATGCGTCAAGGCGTCGATATAATTATCCACGTCCATACTCTGAACCTCCATCTCCAATGAGTAGTCGACCTACTACTCCAGCTGCATCAATACATGACTCAGATGATGAAGAACGAGAAGTATGATCAATTTTTGAAAGTAGCCTAGCTTAAAGTATTTTACTTAGCTTTATTTTTCAGTTAGCAGAACTTTCTAAGCAAAAAAATTATTAAATCATCAACCTTCAAACAAGTCTTTTTTCAATTTTATGTTTTTAGTACTGTCAATTATAGTACTTATTTATTGTTAATTTTATTATTACATCTTGTATGTGCAACGTGCAATTTTTCTTAGTTTAATAACGAAATAAATTTTGTTTTTTATTTAAATTACCTATTTTAATATATATTTTAAATTTTTATGTCAACTACTCAGTTTTGTTAAAATAATTTATTTTTTAATTTACAAATACATATAATTGGCATAATAATAAATAACTAGTAAATTATTATCTACATTTTTTTGGAAAATAAGTAACACACCAGTCCCTTATCAAACCTAAGTCTTCAAATTATATGAGTATCATAAATACATTGCACAAGTCAATAAACTAAAATTAGTTCTATAATTTGATCTACCCTGTCAAAAGTTTTATGTTCAGTCACAATTAAGGTACGTAAATTATTCTACTTCATATCACATCATACTGTTAACAAAAATGTGTTAAAATATTATTTAAAATTACAAACATAACAATTTAGAGTAAAAAAATTATATAATATTCTCAATACTTAATTTCAACCATTCTAATAGTAATCAGTGTTTTTGACTACTATTAGGAGATGGTGGAGGTGGGTTAGGACTGAAATATGTGCTTGATGATGGAGAATGTGACCTCGGTGAAGGTGGTGGTGGACTTGGTTCTATAGGCAATGCAAAATCTGAATCGTATATATCAGTAGGTAGATCAGTTTGTGAACATAATGTAGGACATGGTGGTTCATAACGTTCATTGTATCGCAAATACTGATTACTTCTCAAATAACTACTAGTTGGCATAGTTAATGTAGTTGTTGGACTAGGTGGTGGATTTAGAGGACTGCAATTTGAAGGAGAAATCAATTCTATATGAGTTCCATTTTGCATTGCAGTGTAAGCTGATATTGAAGAAAATTGCCTTGGTACAGGTATAGCAGTATATGTCACTAAGTTATTGTTAGTTGGACTAGTGATAGTCTCAGGATCACTACACAAATAAAAAAGATTATTATTTTTTAATTTTACTTATACTTTATAATACTATACCTTTTAGTGCACCGATAAATAACAATTAACAAAGCACTTAAAATCAAGGTGAAAAGGATTATTGTAAAAAATAATGTTCCTTTGTATGATTTATCAGAATTTAAATTAATATGATGGCCTAAATTTTTAACTAGAGAACAAGCCAAAAATGTTTCATCTGATCCATCAATACAATGCTTCCAACCATCACAAACCTCCTTGGCTAATATACATAAACCATTAGAAATACATTGAAAGCGATCATTAGCTAATGATCCTAATTCACAGCATCTAGATTCATCAGAGCCATCTGCACACTGTTTAGTACCATCACATACCCAATTTTTGTCTACAAATTATTATAAGTTAGATAAATTAATATGAAAATTATAAATTGTAAATATGGATTTTAAGTAAAATAAAATACAAACCTATACAGTGACCATCAAGACATTTAAATTGATGTCTATTACACTCTGAACAATTTATTTCATCTGATCCATCTTGACAATCAGTTTGTCCATCACAACGCCATATTAAGGGCATGCATTCAGCACTTAATGTGTTACATATAAATTGTTCAGGACCACAGACTGGCACACTAACACATTGTTGTTCACTCATGATTAAACCTAAAGGACAAGAGCACTCATAGTCACTAGATATACTCTCATTAATTGTTGTAACAACACAAAGATGTGAACAATGACCAAATTTATTGAATGCACTGCATGGATGTGAAGACATTTCCTGAAAATAAAGTATGGTGTATAATTAAAACTGTATCTTATATTGAAATATAATAAATATAATTTACTTCAGGAGTAGGAATATATATAGCAATGATATCAACTAATTGTGGTGTCTGATTCATTACAGTACTGCTTCCTTCATTTATAATTCCAGTCGATTTATTAACCCGTTCTACTGCTTGTTTCTCTTTATCAATCCAGTATAAATAAGGACCAAGAACTGCTATATTAGTTACTTGAGTACTATCAAATGAAATTAGTGTCCGCCTATTTACAATAATAATTGGGTATTGAACATTTCAAATAATTTCAGAAATATTTTATATTTTGTAAGTAATTAAGTGATTTATGATAAATAGATCAACTTGAGGGAGACATAAATTATGTGTAGAATAGATTTGCTAGTTGTTTAAAGAATACTGCAAAGGAAATTGTTGATGAGAGTAGGAGTAGAATGCCAGTAAACAAGGAAACCTGGTGAAAGGATGAGGATGTTCAAAGTATGGCAGAAGAGCTAAAGGAGAGAAGATTGGATGGAGTATAAATACTTGTGTAAAAAAGACACGTGTGCAGTAAGGCAAAGTTTAAAAGGTATGAGGAGTTGTATAATATGCTAAGAACAAAGGAAGGTGAAAAAGAAGTCTGTAGACTTAAAAAAGTAAGAAAAAAAAGGTCTAATGATTATCACTATGTAAGGTGTATAAAAAGTGATGATGTCAAAAAAAAGGTGGAAAGATTATTTTGAAATACTACTGAATATAAAGAGTAACCAAGAGAGACATTAAGAGGATATCTCGTGGAATGAGGGACTGATAGATTTAATTAGTGAGAAAGAGGTATGAGAAGCTGTGACATAAATGAAAAAGAATAAAGTAATAAGACTAGATGAAGTGCCAGTAGAAGTATAGAAAATATTAGGCGGTGTTGGTATAAAATGGTTAAAGAATCGTTTTAATAAAATCCTATTCAAAGAGAAAATGCCATAAGAATGGAGAAATAGTATTCTGGTGTGAATATTAAACGTAGAGGAGATATATATGAGTGTAAAAATTATAGAGGCATAATATGAAGATTTGAAAAAGGTAATAGATAAAAGAATAAGAAGAGAAACATCAATTACAAAGAACCAGTTTGGTTTTTACCTGGAAAGTCAATGATGGAACAATTTTTTGTGAGAAACAACTAGTAGAAAAGTATAGGGAAAAAAAGAAAAATCTGTGTATGGTATTTATAGATTTGGAGAAAGCGTATGATAAAGTACCGAGAGAATTTTTAAAGTGGACGCATTAATGAGAAAAGGAGTCCCGAAAAGGTACATAATATAATAAAGGATAATTATCCTCTATTATATTAATGATGATGATACTTGTACCAGGATAATTACTGTCATCAATGCCAAATAAAGTTATATTTTTTGATTTTTCGATGCGCTCTTGCACTTCCCGAATAATTTAAAATTCTGATTCGGTAGCTGCTTATTTATTCAATGAATCTAATAAATAAAACTGTTGGCGTAACATACAAAGTTCTGATTTAAGAACTCTACTTTCCTCTCTCAAATTAGAAATATCAGAAGTAAGATCCTTAAGTTTAACTATGATAGCATAAATTTTATCCTCATTGACTTTGTGAAAGTAACTTCGTTAAATTTGACAATGTTAATTCAGCTTTTACAGTATGACTAGATGCCAGAGATTTGATCGTTTAGACATGTTTATTACGGAATAAATAGTAATATGAGAAAAATAAGTATAAAATTATTTAATAGTTATATTGATAATATACACTTCTATTTATCCTGATAATTTAAATAAAATAATAATTACACAAGGACACTATAGTGTGTTTATCAAAAACCAGTGATACATTATTACATTATTGTTGACAACATATCGTAAAATATCAATTAACCATAAGAAGTATGACCCTACACACAAGTATAAGATTCCCAAAAAAAAAAAAAATGTAGAGTATTGCCTAATATGATTATAAAGTTTAAGCAACTGTTACAGAAGAGAAAATGTGGTGTTATTGAAAAATGCTTAAAATTAATGGATTGAAATAATAAGAAATGAAAAAGCAATAAACAGAATAAAGTAGATGTGAGATTTTGTCATGCTGTAAGAGCCAGAAGAGACAAAATGATATAACATTTACTTTGCCATGATAGATTAACAAAAATAGCATTTGCTTTTATTCATTATGATAAATAAAAATGAGGACAATTTACCTTTGATAACCATGAATATCACACACATCAATTTTACTGGAATATGAAAAATATACCATATTTTTTACTCTATCAATAGTGAGTGATTCAAGAGATAATAAATCAGATGCAATGATAACTCTATGTTGGCCATCTATTCTAGATCTTATAACTCTATGTTGACTTCCTAAATCTGTCCAATATATAAATCTAAATACATTTTTAATTATTAAAAATACATAAAAGCTAAAAATAAATAATAAAATATTTCAATATTAATTTCATAACTAACCCTTTTTCTGGATGCACAGCTAAATTTCTTGGTTTTTCACTATCATAACTTTTGAATATTGAACCTTGAAAACTACTATTTGTCAAACGAGTAACATTTATGGAGTCTGTTAATGAACATGACCAAAATAGTAGTCTATTATATGGATCTAACGCAAGATCATATAAGTTATAAGTATCTCCATTATTACCAATAAAAGTACTTGGATTTGAACCATTTTCATGACACCTTTTAATTGCTTGGGTTTTTTCATCAATCTAGAAAAGAAAAATTGATTTAGTTTAAATCTTTTTTATTTTACTTTCTAATGATAATTCAAATTTTCTAACGAATAATTTTACTAAAAATGTTCTATTTTTGTTAAACTTGTTCGTTAATAAAAATTTTTAATTTTTATGTGCTTTTACTAAATATTAATTATACCCAATAAATCATGTGTGATAATGGATCATATTCAACTGCTTTTACATGTTTTAATCCAATAACTGGAAGTGATGAATCTGAGGAGTCTTCAATATCCATAACTACTCGATAAAAAGTTGTTCGCTGAGCCACAATCAAAAAGCTATTTGGAGCTATGTAAAAATAAAATAATTACATAAAGTAATTTAGATAATTAAAACTAAAAACCTACATTTTAATTTGATATTTTTAGAATTTTATTAATAGTAATAATAATAAGTTTACTATTAAATGTTGAATTACTTATTCAAAATGCTTATGTTATTTCTATCTTCTTCTTTTTCCTTGCCTTAATCCCAACTAGTTAGGTTCGGCCACTAAATTTCCACTTGATACGATCTCCCATATCATCTACACATACATCAGCCGTTCTCATATTGCATTCCATAAAATCTCTCCATCACTTTTCTAGTCTTCCTCTACCTCTCATCTCTCAACATTCATTTCCATAACTGTTCTTACAGCTTCCGATTCCTCTCTTCATAACATGACCAAATCATCTAAGTCTATTTACTCTCATCTTATCCACGATAAACGCCACACTCTATAGGCAATAAATAAAACCAATATTTCTAAAATGTTGACGCTTCTATCTATTTCATCCATCCACACTGAACAAGTGGGTTTTTTTATAAAACCAACAGGATTTAGTAAACAATGTACCTGAACAAGTGTTGTTTTTAAAAAGAGTGAAATGTGTTTCGCAAGAACAATGATATGACATAGGTTCATGTAAATTAGTGGATCCTTTAACAAGACATAACTGCTGACAACCACCATTATTGTCTACACAAGGATTGGTTCCAATTTGGCTCTGTTTATCATAAGTTAGCAAATCAGTTACATGATCCAAATTCATTTTACTTTGTTTTATAACATCTCCACTGATAATATTAACTTGAAAAAATGTACCATTAGCCCAGTCAAGCCAATATAAAGAATCCTGTAAATTATAATTAAAATTTTATTTTTAGACATATTAATGTTATAAAATTACATATCAATATTTGTACTACTTTAAAATATGTTATAGCAGATGGGTAACCATATGGAACTGATACAATTTTATTTTGACGTTTCCCATCCAAATCAATACTTTCAACAGTTCCACTATTTGGTGTCAATGTAGTCCAATAAATTAAACCATTATCATAATCTAAAGTAATACTGACTACTTTTCCTATTTTATTGACTAAACATAATTTGCCTTCTCCATCCATTGAAGCTTTATGAATGGAACCAGTTATACCATCATATTCACTCCAATACATAAAACTAGAATTAAAAACAATTTGAATTAATTTACTTTTGCACACTAATTGAGCTGCAATTGTATATCGGTACCAAATTAGCCATATGGTGAAGTTGAGTTATACTCAGCTTAACCTTTTTAATTAACTATTATTAAATTACCCTCGTTTAGGATCAAGCAGCAAATTTTTAGGATACTTTATATCATTCCATAGTAGTACTTTTCGCATGTTTCCATCTAATCTAGCTACTTCAATTCGTCTTGTACCAGAATCACACCAATATAAATTTTCACCAATCCAATCAACCGCTAAACCTATTGTAAAATTATTATTTTTAACCATCTTAAGTAATAATTTTAAAACTATAAATTTTTATGGAATCAGTGTTTACATTAATTTCATAAATCTAGATGCTTAAAAAATTATATAAAAATTTAGTTAAAAAAAATCACTATAAATTATTATTTATAATAATATAAAGAGCATTAAATACATACCTTCAGGAGATTGGAGACCAAATTCAATTATTCTTTCAGGTGTAGATCCATTTAAAAAAACTCTATTAATTGTTTTTAATTTGATGTCTGCCCAGTAAACTCGTTTGTTTGAAATATCAATATCAATAGCACTATAATTTTTAAAGCAATATATTTAAATAAAATATAAAAATAAATAGTATATTAAGAATTATAAAATTAAATTTAAAATTAATAAAAATATATTACCTTGATTCTTTTAATCCCGTTACAGGAATGAAATCTGTGTAATGTTTATTTTCTATGCTTAAGAATCCTATGTGATCATTACGTGAATACAACAAAAATGCTTTAGGCACAACACAAGTTTTTCCATCATCAGCTAATTCATACTCTAATTTATTATAAGAAAATGTTGTTATGAAAAAAATATAATTTACTTCAAATAATTAATAAAAAGTAATTAAAATAATTTTAGGTGACACTTAGAAAAAGCCAGATTTTCAAATTTTTTGGATAAAAAAAAAAAATGTAAATTACAGAGAAGTAATATCATTTTTAATAATATTTTTTTTAATGTTCAGCTTAATAATATAAATTTAAAAATTAATAAATAATTATCATACCAATTTCACAAGCACAGTTATAACCTCCTTTTGGTTTGAAAAAACAAAATTGACTACAGTTACCATTGTTTTCGCTACATGCATTTAAACTTAAAGGGTCATTCAAATTTATGGCTTTAACACCCATTAAGTTAGGTAACTGATCTATAATGAGTCTCCGATCAGAGCCTGTATTTTTGTTAACTCTGTCAATAGTCCGACGTTGCCAATCAGTCCAATACAGATAATCACCTAATTGAGTTAAACCAAATACATGAGGCACATTTTCATTAACAAGTTCTCGACGGCCTTCACCATTCATATTAATTAACTAAAAAATTTAATTAATTTAACTTTAAATCTTAAAAAGAAATTATGTATAAAAATACATAAATATTTTTATAAAATAAATAAATAAAAATTTAATTGACCAAATTTCTTACTTCAATTCTATCAGTTTTAGCATCACAAAAATACAATGTTTTTGACTTAATATCCAACGTGATTCCATTAGGCCAACCTAAATCTTCTTTTAGTAAAATTATTCTGTCACTACCATCTAAATTAGAACGTTCAATTTTTGGTTTTCTTTCAAACCAATCAGACCAAAATAGCCAACCCAGTTCTGGTGCAACTGCTATACCACGAGGTTCTACCAAGTCATTAGTAATAATAACCTACAATGATATCATAAAAATTATAATCAAGATACATTTAAAAGTACATTAAAATTTACTCTTCGATATTTTCCATTTAACCTAGCAACTTCTATTCGATCTGTTCCAGTATCTGTCCAATATAAGTTACGAGCAGAGTAATCTATTGCAATTCCATCAGGATGAAATATTTCATTAGACATAATAATTTCTTGATTACTTCCATTCATTTGTGCTCGCTGAATCATTTTAATCTAAAATATATATATGTAATAACAAATATTATTTATAAGTTAAAAAAAAATCTTATATACTTCATCATCAGTCCAATAAATATAATGCTCTACAGGATCATAGTCAATAGCAATAGCGTGAGCTAATCCAGACAAAGGTACTGACATTATGGAGTGATCAGGAGAATCTAATGATATTTGACATATTTCTGTTTTCTGAACAACGAGGAGAAGTTCTTGTACACCTATAATACAAAAAAGAACAAACATAGTCAAAAGTTATCAATTATATCTAAAATTAGTTTAATAATTAAAAATATGGTAATTATATATTAATTGTATTAGTAACTATTTAAATATAGTAACATACTATTTGCACAGTTGTGGTGATCAATAAGTTTTATTCCTGTAGGACAAGCACAAGAGTATCCGGGAGAGTTAGGTGCTAAAAGACACAAATCTGAACAACCACCATTATTTTTATCGCATGGAGTAATTTTATCAGGTTGTCTAACAGGATCCCAAACTCGAATATCCATAGGTACATAATTACCATGAATGATTTCACGATTAACACCACCTCCTTTACGGTCAGCTACATGAATAGACCTATGCATTAAGCAAAATATTATAAAATATTATCATAATTCTATTAAGTATGTTATCATTATATAGTTATTACATAACTGGAATCTACAACTATTAGCAAAGGAAGACATTTTTTTTTAAATAATTAAATATTTTGCCTCCAAATTAAACTAAAATTTGGTTGTAAATTATTTAAAATTCACAATTAATATTATTTAATATTGACAGTGTGGCCAAGTAAGTAATATAGTAGTGTGTGATATACAATGTAATAGACTGAAGTCTATTACATTAAGTCAATAACCTAACCATTCTCCCTAGAGTATCATGATTTAGAAACCTCCTCATTTAAAAAGGTTACTATAGCATTTAATTCGCCATAAAAGAAATTTAAAAAAATGAAAGATAATAATATCCATTAGTAATGTTTCAGGATCATTTTAACTTAGGGTGAAAGTCAAATTATATCTAAAAGAAAATAACATATACATGTTATTTTTTAAAGATTTGGTTAAAAAATAAATTTGCCGTAACCCCCTAAAATTTTAAAAAAATGACATGTATTTCTATATAAAAAAAAAATTTGAGTGGGGGAAAAATCAATTTAGCTTTCCAAATTTTTTAATAAATTTCCACTAATGCTTATAAATTACCACACTTAAATACATTTAATTGTATTAATATATTTTTTAAGTATATTTGTTAATAAAGTCATAATTGATAATAAATACTGTATACTGTATATTGTAAATATCTGTAATTAATAGCATCGTAAAAAAAAGCAATTAGCTACTAGTTTGTATAATCGTTGTATTATATATATATATTTAACTAAAAAATTCAAAACTTTAAAGTGTTATATTTAATGAAGAGATAATTACTATTAGAAAAAACCTCAAACATTTTATTAAATTCAAAATGTGTTCTTATTTGAAAAACAAAGTTGATACACTTACAAGCCATAAGGGATAAACTTGAGAAGAATTATATAGCTAATAACTCTAGAACAATATAATTATAAGTAATAAAAAAAATTATTTTTATCCTATGAGTAATTAAGTGGATTTCGTTTAAAAAATCACCTGTATTATCAATCAAGGATTCATAAATATATACATTAATTTAAATTTGTATATGTTATAGGGTCATTCCATGTGAAATCAACTAGCGCGTGTACTGCTATAGTCCAGAAATTGTTGAAATTTTTATCATAAACTTCTTAAAGGTCATTGACAACAAAAATAACTTTTTTTTTTACCAGATAGCACATTTTTTATAATTAAAAACATAAAAAAACACCTTATGTTCTAGAGCCTATAACTTCACATCCTAATAAGCTATCACTGTGGAGCTAGTACTATTTTACTCATATTAAATAGTACTTCAATTTCATTCTTAAGTTTATGAATTTTAAATTATTTTAACATTGAAATTTTGATTTAAATTTTGCAGTATTTTGATAGCAAAATTTGAAGCTCAAAAAATAAATTTAATAAAATTTTTTTTTCCTTACAGAAACTTTTAGCTATGTTCTTTTAACCCATATCATATTTGAATCAATTTATACATTTTTTTGTATCATTTTACGGTCTTGAACACTCAAGTGTTGGTTTGCTGAAAATAGCCAACTTTATCATCTCATTACACAAAAGTGATTGAACAAATTTTTTTCAAATTTACATAGTCCTTACCTTTAGGCAATCAAAATATCTAGTGAAAATTTGATGATGGAGAAATAGTTTTAACGCCACTATAGAACTTACAAAATTTACAATTTGCGTTTTATGAAAAATCTACAAATACTTAATTTTTAACATTTTATTTTAACGAAAATAAAATACTACATACCATTGTAAGCAACTATTTTTAAAATTATTTTTTTTGTTTAATACTAATGAAAGTATAAAACTGTTGATGAAACAATTGTTTTTATTATACATACGGTTTTCATTTTATCATATTACTCATAGTGACTTTTGTATCAATTTTTTCACGAATATGACAATGTTAAAAAGTATTTAAAATAATAGCTTATTTGGATGTGAAGTTATAGGCTCTAGAACATAAGGTGTTTTTTTATATTTTTAATTATAAAAAATGTGCTATCTGATAAAAAAACAATAAAAAAAAAAATTATTTTTGTTGTCCTTTAAGAAGTTAATGATAAAAATTTCAACAATTTCTGAATTATAGCAGCACACACGTTAGGTGATTTCACATGGAATGACCCAATACTGATTAATTAATGAAAAGGGTAGACTTCTAAATCTTAATACATTATTATATTTAATAAGTGCTTTATTAATACTAACCAAGATTTCCAATCTGTCCAGTACAATTTTTCTTGAAATAAAGCGATCCCAAATGGATAAGATATACCTTTATCATGAACTGTTTTTCTACTTTTTCCATCAAAATCCATTACCTGTAATAATAAAAAATATGTAGTATTATAAAGAATTATTTTAATTTGTTATGTACTAACATCAATAAATCCAAGTTTTCCATCAACCCAGTAAATTTGTCTATTTTGAAAGTCTATGGTTAAACCATTGGGCCAAAATATTTTATCACTAACTATAACTTTACGGGTAGATAAATCTCCATTCATTCCAGCTCTTTCAATTTTTGGTACTTCACCCCAATCAGTCCAAAACATGATACTAAAAAAAATTATTAATTTATGCTTTAAGTAATTTAGTATAAACTTTTAAAATGCCATACCCATCCATAGGAACTAGTGCTATAGCACGTGGTTGATCAATTTCTTCCCAATATAATACTTTGCGTAGTTTACCATCCAATGATGCAACTTCAATTCTATTTGTATCTCCATCCGTCCAATATAATTTCTTAGTAAGCCAATCAATAGCTAATCCATCAGGAGTTAAAATACCAGAATTTAAAATGGCAACCTATCGATAATAAACAAGCATAATCAAGATTAAAAATCATGAATTACTTTTATACTAATACTTGGACAGAATATATTCCTGAATATCCCAGGAATACTTTTTTAAATCCTTATCTAATCTAAAAAATGTATTAACAAATCTAATTCATACAATTCATAGTCTAAAATATTCGAAGATTTTGAGAGGTGTACGTTTATTTTAAATACCAACATTTTAATATAAAAATTAATTTTTCAAGTTAAGTATTCTTTTTTGTAATTTATTACATAATTAGAAATACTTTGCAAAAAACATAATTTTACAATATAAAATGTGAGTATTTGAAATTTTTGGACAACATCTTTGAATCTATTGGGCTAAGTAATGTATTTTATTTAATTTATAAAATGGGTTAGATCCACAGGGTGCCAACTAGATTTTTCAAGTGATTTTTTAATTGGTGCTATCTGGTCTCTGGTACAAGGTAATACTCATCTTGTCATTATTGGTTAAGTAAAGAAACATCATGTGAAAGAGGGCCACCGCCCTCTGTAGTAGGTTAAGTTCAAGAAATAGAAGGATGTAAAACTAATCATTTCATTTTTGTAGATTTGATATAATGATTCAAAAAATTATTCGTAGAGTTATTCAAAAAAATATTCTACCCAAGTATGGTACTAATAAAATATTTAAAAAAGTAAAATGTTTTATACCTTATTAGCAACATGTGTACCATTATATGTAACACATTGTATTGATTCTTGTCCATGGTCAGCCCAACAAATCAATGAATCTTTAAAATAAAAATCAATTGCAACACCTTCTATCAAATCCTATAAATTAAAAATACATATTATAAAAACAATCTAATAAAGAAAAAATTAAAATATGACATTACTTTAATTATAACATTAATTTTAGTCAACTTGGACATATTGGCCATTCGAATATCTTTGGCTGTTGTATATAATAAATTTGGATAACCTAGAAATATGAATATGTTGTTTAATATTAAAATTTCCTATTATAAGTGATATAACAGTAAATAATTGTAATAAATCTAAAATTAATTGAAATTCTTTGATAAATTTTTAAGTATTATAACACTGGTTTTGAAGAAACATTTAGTTTTTCAAAACTAAGTATAACAACAGTTTTAATAAATTAAATAAATTATATTTTAACATTGTTTTGTTATATAGATAGCTCATCAACTACTAAGCAAGTGTGCCATTGTAAATTGTATACCTTTTAAAAAAATAAAATATTTTACTTTTACTTTATCTAGTAAAGTTAATTACTAAAAATTACATTTATTTATAATTTTTAACTATGTGTATAATTAACTAAATATGTGAAAAATTATATTCACATAAATATTTTATTTTGATTTAGGACAAGTTTTTGGGATTCTTTTAAAGAACTAAAACTTTATTAAAAGGTCAGTAATGGTATACCTTAAAAAAAATATGTTTATTAATTGAAAGCAAATACAAATTAATTTTATCTAATTAGTATATATTATTTAAATAAATGTATACTAAAAGATAAATTACATTTTCAAAACTATCCTTTACAAATTAAGAAGAAGGTTTGCTCTAATATATAAATGTAGTCTCATTAATAAGACCCTTATAAAATAATATATGTTATAAATTATTTACACACATAATTTGGAAACTTATTTAAACAATGTTAAAATAGTGAAACTTACTGAAAACGAAGAAAATATTGAACCATAGAGGTATAATCCATAATAATAGCATTCTAAAGCATTCTAAATAATAAAATCGGCTAAAAAAAAATGTACAGTATATTTTCCCAGAATAAATTTATTACTATTTAATCTAGTTTAAAAATGGATTTTAGCTTCCCTCTCATTGTCGAAGTATAAAGCTTGTATTAGACAAAAAAAGATTAAAATAATTTCTGATGTTAAACATTTACATTTTATTAAAATTTTGATAGATTTTCTGCAAAATTAACAACCGTCAAAATTCAACATACTATGCTCTTATCATTTTCTAAAAGTGTAAACAAACAGGCATGTGAAATGATAATATAAGTGAAATGCTATAGGTGTAACGTCTACGTCTGCTCATTGTTGTTCAAAATCAACCGATAACCGACAATGCTCTTTCATCAAGTGTAACAGGTTTTCTGATCTAACTCAACAGGTGTACCACAGCATCCGTACCATATTGTATAATAGAAAATTTTAGGATAAACTTTTTAAGTTATAGTTGCCTCACTATGGTAAAATCTTAAATACGACCTTCGATGATAGCGGCGGATACGTAAACAAAAACTGTCAGAGAAAATTATACATCAAGCGGCCCTCGTATCAATAAATATATATACATGTGTCAGTGTGTGTGTGTAACATATATATAGGAATAGAAGAAAAGAGTAGTAAGAGGTAGTTTTGGATAAATAAGCCACTCTCTCTCAGTTTGAAATTGAATCAAATATTTTTTAACCCGGGGGAATTACATAAAATTCCCAAAAAAATGAAATTGTAAGAGCAGCCCATTCTGCCGCCCTCAAATGACACTCTTTCCTGTACGTCCATTTATTTAGAGAAAATAAAAATATTCAGATTATTTCCTTTACTTATATTATAAGACCTACCTTTGAGCAAAATTTTACGTTACAACGTATATGAGAAGTGTTTTATAATTTTGATGATGAATTAATCAATCAGTCAATTACAAAATGAAAAATTAAAACTTACCCATTTTAAAGTAGCGTAAATATTTTATTATTAAGGTAACTATGTAAAGTTGAGACACCACATTTGTAGTATTCATACACGTATTCGTATATTCAACGAAAATAATTGGATGATTTTTTGTGTATTTATATTCATAGAGTTACCGTCTTTTTCTTATTGTCTTTTTCTTTTTCCTCCCCTTTATTCCAAATACTTGGGATTAAGAAAATTAGACTGTCGTAACGCATTCACCCCACCCTACTCACCACACGCCATCAATACTAATCCTGTATAATTTTTTTATGACGATATTCCAAGGTATATAGCCTTTATAATCAATAGTAATAAGATACAGTTGTGAATTTATAAATACACTAACTACCTATACAGAAATTATATCTATTGATAGTTATAATTGACAATAAACACTCCGTGTCTGTGATAGCGATGTCAAAAAACTAGAAAGTAAAAAATAAATATAGTTTGAAAAACTAAAAATACACGCTTTTAAAGTACATCGAACAGAAAAGTTAAAAATAATTTTTAAAATAAGCTTAAAACAAAAATATGACATGAAATACCCACGCTTTTTTTACAATAATACTAGTATTTTTCGTTCATTATTGTTTTAAGCTTATTTTAAAAGCGTGTTTTTTTAGTTTTTAAACTATATTTTTTATAGTTATAACCGTTTTTTCTTATTGTATTAATACAAAAGTAACTATGTTTAATTTTGAGCCATTAACTATTAACCGTGCGATTTTTCATTAAACTTAACAAGAATGCTTTAATAAACAGTTCTAGCATAAATTTTTATCAACAGAGGATCTAGAATTTTTCAAAAGGGGTACAAATAATTTTAGACATTAAAATCAAATAACTTATTTTATCATTCAAAATAATTTTTTTAAGTAGGCATTCATAGTCCAATGAGACACATTTCCTCTGCGTCTTTCCCTACTGGATCATCTAGTGGAAATTTGTTCATTCATCATTATATTATTTTAGCCTCTATTTGGGGTTGTCTGTGCCTTATTATGATTTGTCAGGATTTTTACACTGAAAATTCATTCATTAATATTGTTTATTTATATTTTACTATTTCACCTAAACTACAACAATCTCAATATAACAATTGTTAAAGTGACTCATTAAAAAATATTAATTATTCATATGTTCATAACTAGTTAAATAAATTAAAAATAATTTGTGTTAAACATAAAATGTTTTTTTTTTTAATAAATTTGTTCTGTTAGGTTTATTGTCAAAATAAAATGGAGCTAAAATCTCTTAAGGTGACTTTTACAGAAAAAACTACTTATAATATTTAAACATCAATTTTTATTTCGAAAGAAATATTCAATAACTCTAAGTATTTTGTTTTGCTAATATATTGATAAATGAAGTTAGAAACTGTGTGTAAGGCTCATTCGTAATTTATTTGAAGTTATTACAAGTTGTTTAACAAGTTGATTTATGTTCAGTTAATTCATCATATGATCAATAATACATTAAACTGTAGAATTTTCAGCTGTAGTTACTTTACATTTACGAGTAGTGCTAAAAATATTTTCAAATTTGTATAAAAAAAACCTAATGGATGATAACAAACTAGTCAAGAGCAAATTTATTGCTGAAATACTTTAAATAAAGGTATAAACAAATGAAAATAATAATAATAACGATTATACTATTATAACAACCGATAACGACAAGCGTACTCGCAGTTAATTCTAAAAATAAATTACCCAATATAGTAGTGTATTAATATTTTACCGTATGGACGACGCTGCCGGTCGTCCAAACACTGCTCGTGTGGGCATGTGTAACCGCATATACTGAGGGACACAACTTTAATTTTACACGACGAATGTATTATAACTATTTTTAATAAAAATGTAGTATTAAATATATACAAATAATTTTCTTCTTTTAATTAATTTTAATAGGGTGTGAGATCGTCTCGTCGTCTAAACCACGAGTCGCCACTGAAAAATATAAAAAGAATAAATTAAAGAAAGATTAATAGTAAAATAAAAAGGGGTACAATAATTTAATATCAAAAATAGTGAAAGAGTATAAAAATGCGAGAGATTAATAAATGTATAAAAAGGGTAAATTTGTGGAATGGGTAAATATTGGTAAACATCCCTTACAAAATTTTATATATTATCTTAATAATTTATAACACGATAGATTTGTATATGATTCAAAAGCATAAATAAAACTTATACTTATGTAATATAAAAATATTTTAGGCAATCCAACGTTGATTCTGATTTTCACACTATTTCACGTGTTTTGCACTACTTGCTTAGTCAACATAATTGTTTTAACGATTTAATTTTAAATAATATGAGAATAATTACACAAAATCTATGGCTGGTTTTATATGTAAAAGATTCTATACACTCTATATTTTTATTATAAATATAATTTAATAATGTACCTTATTACATTTCTATTGAATAAGTTTTTTTTTTAAAGAGAGTATATTTTATTGAGAATTTGACAACAATATTTCTTAAATCTTCCTCTGGCTTGGCCAAAACAAAATTCAAAAATATTTATACTTAAATAAAAATTTATTGAGGCGGTATTGTGGTGGCTTAATGTGTCCCGGCACTGACGCCTTGAAAAGATGTGGCACAATAATCACCAAAACAAAAATTAAGCACTAAAAATATATTCATAAGTTTCTTTGGGCTGTCCGGCGGCGAATCGGTGAAAAGGAAGGGCCGCAGACGACATCAAACTCAGAGACTAGTTACCCAATAAGTATAGGATTGCAATACACTTAGTCGAATAAAATTATTCTTAAATTAATTTAAGTCTCAGTTTTAACTGAGAAAATTGTGATCTTTAAGTTTACGCATGAGGTTTAAAATAGTAATTGCACATTTATTTCTGTGGTAAGAAAAATAAAACATTATTTAATGAACAAATAAATTTAAAATAAAAGATTCACAAATACAAAATTCACTTTAAATTTATTTTAAGTTCCATTTGATTTGAAAAAAATATTCCAAGTCTAAAAAAAAAATTTTTAAAAGACTAAGTCACAGAGAGTGAGAATGTTGAGTAGAGTGTCGCAGATTTTGAGTACTTTAATATTACCGAAAGATCTGATTTTAATAATATTACAATTCTTTTTATCACAATTTAAGAGGATGCCGAATTGCGTTGTAAATTAATTATAATTATTTTATAGTTATACGGTTCTACAATATCTAGGATTGATGTAGTTTTATTCACAAAACTTCTGTGAATAAGACTGAGCACTTTTTTCTCTAATTACACATCGTATAATTTCCGTTTTGTATCGCAAAAGAATAGTAACACTATTTAATATTTTATATAAGTCCACATTAGATTAAAATTTATTGTATTTAAAATTTGTTTATTTTTTGATTTCATAGGGACACGATACAGCCCCTGTTGTTCTAGATGTTAAACCGCCTAGCTATTAAGACAACCGGTGGTTTTAATACGCACCGGTACCACTTAATGAGTGCAAAGTCCATCAAATTTCTGACGGTCACGACTGGTCGTCGACTGATTGTCGCGGTCAGATGCGTTCAGTGTGCCGATTTTTGAAACAATGATAAAATTATACAACGTTCCATAAATGAAATGATATCAATTGTGGTGTTTCTTCAAAAATGGTATAAATTTAAAGAGTGAAAATCATTCAACATTTTGTCTACTAAGTAAATTTAATCAAATAATTTCAATGTTTTATCATATATTAGGTTTGGCACTTAATGTATTTATAAAATTTGTTTAGACCACTTCCCGAAATAACCGATTTTTATTTTAGATAAATTATGATTGTGTTGGTTAATACTCAAAAATCATATCCTCATTTTATAAATCATGGGCTATTTACGCATAATTATTGTTTTGAAAAAAAAAATACCTAAGAATTATTTTTTTTTAATGCAATAAAACTAAATAAACACTAAATAAACTAAATAAATAATTTTTTTTATTAAAAGTTGTAGTTGATTCTAACATTGTAACAGAAAAAAAATCCTGACTGGCTTTAGCAAATAAAAGCGTTCACGAAATATTATTAAAACAAATTGAAAATTTACATCCTCCAATTATAAACGGAACAAAGAAAATATTTATTTTATTACAGGAGATCGACTGTATAATTAAATTGAAATTTAGCATTCAAGTAAAATTAAAGTCGTAACAGTAAACTGTTTACTATGTAACATCAAAATTGGTAATTATTTTTATGAGGATGGGTTGTTTTATATAGATTCGACATTAATTTAATTCGTGTAAATTACAACATATATTTATTATAAAATTAAAAGAAAATTTTAAACTTCTATTAAGCATAAAAAACAATGTAGTAAGAGTGGCGCTTGAATAATTTGTATCAAAAATTGACAAAGCCGACATAATATACATTTTATAAATGCAATTTATTTACAATATTAGTAGACGATAAATAACAAATAGAAAAATAACCTGACCAGACGGTCTATTAATAGCAAAATGTTAGTATATTTGAGCGACAAATTCAAACAATCGTTTTCAAGCAGCG